CACTCTTTCATTTAAACTATGAAAAATATGGGGTCAGTTTGATTTTCATATTTGTTTTTAAACTTAAATCTATATGTAAATTAAAGCGTCATTCCGAAGCGGGCGAAGGGATTTCAATTCCGGTGACCGACAACTTCCTATGGGCAACTCCCCCAACTTTTTACTTTTTATCGCCAACAGACCTACAAACAAAAAGATATGCTTCAAAGGAGGGTCTGATGCAGGAAAAGCTTTGCAGGAGGGTCTTCTACAGAGAAATGTCTACTGCATAAAAGATTTCGGAGGAGGTCCTGATATTGGATATGACCAACCAACCGTAGTTGTTGCTTAGATGTATATACATCTCTCTCTAGAGTTCAAGAAAACTTTGCAGTAATTGTACTGTGTCCAGGACATTCAAGCTTCAGCAATTCCAAGCTTTGAAAGCTTTCGGTGGGCCTCAGCATAATCAGCAAAAAAGGCATCCTCATCTGCAGCATATTTATCCACAAAAGGGAAAAAACTAGGTCGTTTAGAAGGGCCTTGTCAATTGTATCCAATAAATCTTCTAATCTAAGTCATCATCAAGTAGAGATCTATAAACAGATTCATCCTCCTCATTTGCAAAGAAGCGCCCCGCAACAAGGAGTCGAGTATCGTTATTCAACTTCAACTTTCTTGTATGCTTCTTCAGAATGTCATTTGTTGCAACCACAAAAGCATAAACCACAGATAAAAATAAGGAAGATTGCTCTCCAAACACTTGTCTTCCCAAAAATTAAGGTCAATGACAAGGCTGACAAAGACTGATAAGAAGAATTCAATATCTATTATGAAACATTTACGATCGATGTGGATATTCTTTCCAAAAATAATTAAAGAAATAGTCCCAACAACTATGCAAGCAACAAAGACTGCACCACCAAGCACGTTGTTAAGACCAACCTCCCCACTTCCAATTCCCACAAAGGTAGCAATGCTGGCAAAAAAATCAGATGCCCCATTTCCAAGAGGAAGTAAGCTCACACTAGCAAAAATAGGGGGAAGCTTCAATAAAGCAGAGAGTTTGGCAAGGCGGCAACAGAAGTAATCTGCAGTTGTGTTGCCCAATAAATAAAACAGAGCTGGAAGCCACAAGACAAGAACAATATGCCCCAAGATTTGAACTTCCTCACAATCACAATAAAAGAAGGTGATGTAATCGATGAACCCACCAGAACCACAGTAGGGGTGCAACTTTAGAAAATTGCACCGAGCGCCCTCATGCTGGGCCATCCCGGAGCATCCATTAGATTCTCCAGATCATTTGGTGTGATTTCCCGCACAAAGAATTCAACAAAAGCCCGTAAAAATGGAGGTGGAAAATGGGGAAGTATTTTGAAAGCAGCCTAGGGGAGATAAAACTAGTGTTTTTGTGGAAGAGAGGGTTTTGGATAACGTCTGTTTCAATTTCTCTACTCAATTAACGAAGAGAGATTTAAGGTTTCGGAAGCCGATCATCAGGATACAGTTGAAGCTGAAAAACTCATAGTCGGTGATGCGTGCATATGATAAATCTGCGAATGTCGAGCAGGATGAAGAAATTGAACTGCGCAAGCGGGCTCGGAGGTCGGTAACATCAAAGCTCCCGAGTCGGGAAGGGCAACCAACATGCCAAGCTTACAGGGAGAGAAAAAGTCGTCGTTTCAAATTTTAAGATGATTGCCACCGCGCCCCGCCCCTGCATGGAGGATAGAAGAAAAGGAGCCCGACGGTTATGGAAGGAGGACCGATGGTTTGGGTATGAAATTAAGCTTTGATACCATGTTAAAATTCAGAATAATGTTGAATAAAGTGAGATTTTTCATTGATATGAAGGGGGTTATAAATAACCCTTACATGATCCTAGAATAAGAAAGATAATAAAAAGAAAATAATATGAAAGGAAATATATATCACATAATATCTATAATAATTAATTCATATTAATTATTTTAGAGATAAAGAAAACAAAATAAAATAAAAAAACCTAAAAAAAGAAAGGGATAAACTCAATCCAAGAAAATAAATTTAAAATAGGAAAGGAAATAAAATTATATTAGTAAATAAATCTAATCCTCAAAATTTCTAATTGGAATAAATTATTTTCTAATATAACTTCTAACAATAACAATGCATGCTCCCTAATTCTAGTAAATTAAATCTCCTAAGAATAAAAGTTGTTGGTCTTTGTTTAATGGTACTTCAATTTTGAAGAGGCATCTGATAATGAGCTCTTGCATTAAATACAAAAAATGATACTTAGATGCTAGTATTGTCGTGAGAAAGATCAAGCACTATTATGATACTTCTTCCATTTAGATAATCAAATAATGGCATCCTATGTAAAAAATTAAATTTCATCGATCCCCAAAATTTATATTTCGGCCTGAATAATATTTCGACTTTCATAATCAATTCAAAATAAAATTGATTTGCCTTGAGCCCAACATCTACCTCATAAACTATTTGAATTTATTAACATTGCATATATATGCTACTCAAACATACCTAACAAAATATTGGCATTGTGTATTAAAGTTCACCGAGAATAAAATAGCTCAAAAATTCAAAATCATTACAACTGAAAAATTCAGGGTTAAAAAATCCACGCCACTTTGGAATCATGTCCTGGTTGGCTAGAAATCAACCTGAAATCAAATCAGGTCAAGTTGACGCAGAAAACAAAGTCAAATACCTTCGTTTCTTAAGAAAAAAAGGAAAACGTTTCATTGACATGGTAAACTATGAGGGAAAAAATGAACATATGACCCAATCAATGCCCAAAGTCAAAATCAGGCATTCAAAGAATGATAGTATCTGACAGCTATAAATTAGGTAAAATAAAAACAATAAAATTTTAAAAAATGTTTACCTCGTAATATTCAATTCCTCTAATTCTTTGTAGTTATCACCTATGAGATGCAAACTTTGGTCCGAGATACCCTGCGATTAACTTGCAAGAACAGAATAAAGGGTTTCATGAAAAAGATAATAGTTAGAAACTCGCATCAAGGTTATTGTCCAGCACTAGCATAGTATATCAAAAAGCAAAGGAGTATTAAAGCTTAGAAATCCATTTCAAATTACACTTGATTCAAGCAACGTGCACTGACATACGATTTAAATATTTAAGTGGTTCTATCACAAGCAAACAAAAAAATAAGCACATTTATTCAAGGAAAAAATTAATATATATTAAAAAATTTTGCATTGTTGCAATTTTTATCCGTTTTTCCTTTAACTAAACCAAAATAAAAAATAAAAGGAATTGACAAATGGATAGACTATATGCTGCGAGAAGGCAGCCAATAGAGACCATCAATTTCCCCAAAATGTTAACAGAACTGGTTAACAAGTAGACATCAGAAAGTAAGTAAACGCATAGCCAGCAACCAAATGGAATGACCAGATCTACTGAATCAGCGAATCCTAGTCGCATTGAATTTGATCCTTAAAGCATAATTAAAAACACCCCTGGTTAACAAACAGCAAATAATGGGCATTCATGCAGCAATGTGAATTCAGTTTTTTCTTTAAAATTGCGACCAAGGAGAACGGCACGGTGAAACTGTGAGATGGAAACAAATGTGTATTATATGATTTTCTAAAGAAATTTCAGAACTAAAAATGTATTCACTGAACGTATGCTTTATATGTAACTACATTTATAAACAAACAATTGTAACAAATTTATGCGCAAAGCATTAAAAATAAAAATATAGCATCAAACAAAATAAGGACATGAATAAATAAATTTATATGATTATCACATTTTGTAAGAATGAAAAATGGGAATAAAAGCCAACAAGCGAAGCATATGATGGTTGGAACACAACATTATGTTGACTGAATGAGATAAAAAATAATAGTGACTAAAATCTACAATTGCAGCTGTGAGAACAAGGGGTATTTTCATAAAATAGTGTGTAAATTGTAAAGGGCACAGTTCTTTCAATAACAAGATTTATGTAGGGCTTTTTTATCAATGTGAAGGTTGATAAGCCAACAGTTGACCACTTAACCTTAATATGTGCGTTATTGACGATAAATCCTACAAATGCAGATAATAGTTATCTTTGTGACAATTCAACGAGTAAAAGAGATTGTTGAACGAGAAAAATGTTTCAGTCAAAGGTTCAATACAGATCATACTCGTATAAACAGCAAAAACTACAATTAATTTCATTACCTTGCATCCGCTGAGGTTTAGACGAGACATATGTTTGCAATGCTTCACGAGGTGTTTTATGCTCACATCCGTCACCCTGAAACCAACTAAAAGAAGGATTTGTCGCATACTTTCTGTGGATCACAAATAGCATATGTAGAGTAATATACTGAAGCAGCAAAGCATACCTAACATTCCAGAAGATAGAAAATACCCTAAGTTTAGGGCAAGCAATTGTTACAGCTTCAATTCCATTATCAGAAATTTTCTGACAGCCATTGAGATTCAGATATTCTAGGTGTTGAAGATGCTCCGTTACCTGCAAATGAACGGGAAGGTAATTCTCTGACAAATTTGACTCGGATTGTCAAAATTAACTTAAAAGACATCAGATCATGTACATTTATTATGTACCTGGATTTTATCTATACTATATATAAAGCCGCAATGAGAGAAAATGTGTATTATTTATACGGCTGAAAGTTGAGTGAGCTCCATTCCAAAGGATCTTTTCGGTTATTTTCTTTTAAAGAAAAAAAAAAGATTTGTTTATTTAAAGGGTAAAATATAAATTCACGTCCATCCAATCCACCAAATCTACATAGTCTTTTCAAAATGCTGAGCACAATGTAATGCACAAGTACTCCTTTTTACTTCAATAAATAAAACGCAAAGCAAGGAAATGCTTTAAATAAATTTTCATGAGTTGTATATCATATATATATATATATATATATATGTATATATATATATATATATATATATATATATTAAATACACATGAATTAATGTGGTATTATATGATATTCAAATCAATCAAGAATTATTCAAAATGATTTGTGAAGAAATGTTTTAACATCTCTAACACCACTCAATAGAAATAAATGAAAAAGAAGGATTCATAAAGATTCCAATTAGTTAAGAAAATGCAAATATGATAGTTGAAGGCTATATTATGCAATGTTTGTGGCCTTCGTCATCTTCTGATAAACCATTTTATATATTTCAAAATTATCACACAATGGCTATTTGTTTCTTTCACTAGCAGCTCAAACTGATTTAAAATTGGAGAAACTTTTATCAAAGTTGAGACTGAAAAGTAGATGCTAAACTAGTCATAATAAAATAAGTATTTCAATTTTTACCTTGCGTATATTATGAGTTTTCTTCTTGTAAAGCCCTGAATATCTTAAATCATTTATCATATTAGTTTAATCTTTACTTTCTCCATAAAAACACAAGGAAGTGGTAGGCTGACATAGAAGTTATGTATAAGTAAACAATGAAAAAGCGTATCCTAATTCTGAAAGAAGAGAGAACAAACAAAAGGCACTTTCATCACAACATAAATGCCCTTTAAAGTAAGTTATAAACATCTTTAAAAGAAAAAAAAAATTATAAACTTCATCAAATCATTTTAAAAGGAAATTTTGTCGAAATAGTCCAAAAATCTAAATTACAACCTTATTTTTTAAAAGGAATAGATGCTCATCATGAACGTCACTTGCAAATTCAAGGTTTATCCTCTCAACATGTTTATACCTATCCTGCAAGATGAAAATCACAAAACCTTGGATGACTAAACCTCAGTGGAAAATTAAAGCAATAATTTGAGAAAACACAATCTATTAAATGAAACTGGTTAAATAAGCTAGGATCAAATGGAAATCAATACAAAAAGTTAGATGTACATGTTCGCACAGCATTCATGTCATATAAAGCTCATGTATTGTATAATAATGAAACTGACCAATGAAAGGGCGGATACTAATCTCTCTCCTGCTTTATTCATTTCATGAAGATCAAGTACCTAAAACAAAAAATTATCAGTAGAGAGAATATAGATCACATAAATAGCAAAAAAACAATCTGCAGCCAGAGCTAATTTAAAGGCAATGTAACAATCAAAAGAGGCCTGTTCCCAGGAGAAGCTACATAGAGAAGTCAGAAAGATTTTCATTTAAGAAAATTTTAGGCCTTGCTGAAGCGTGTTAAGTGATCATGTTTAAAAAATTAATCATGCGTTGGAACTGTAAGTTAAAAACATGTATGGTCACCTTCTTGAAAGCTAAATTAGAACCCATAATAATACAATATTACAATCGTGCTTCATTAGTCATTACCAGGTCCGATCCTTAAACTTTATCGCCCCATTCTTATGACCTGAACAACATTTGGAAATTCAAAAGGATTCCCAAAGCCATCAGCTAACAAGTTTTGTTCCACAAATTTCAAAATATGTGTAGTTACCAAAGCTTATATTATGGATTCTCTCTTTCAAAAGTAAAGCAAATAGCATAAAGAGACTTGAAAATAGGCCAGTTAACTGATTAGCTCTGCTCACGCCCCACCCTTTCTATGACTCCCAAGTATTCAGTTGAATCACTATTCGAATCAAGTTGTTGTAAACAACTCTGAAGATTCACATCAAGAAGTTTCATTTAGGGAAGACTCAGATTTAGAAAAGATGATTAGCCTAAGCAAGAGCAAGATGATGATGTGTTGGATTTGGGCTTGAAGTGCAGTGCTTGCTAGTGATAACAATAAAGATATCAAAGTAGGGTTCTCGAGGCACAATTAAAACAATGATTTTATAGAGGAGTTGCATAAAACTCAGAATATCAATAATTGCAACAGGGGGGGCAAGCGATACTACAATGCATAACTCAAGCAAAGCTAGGGAGCCAATTCTAGACTTGCTTCCCTCGAAGCATCATGATAGCTCATCATGGAGAGTAATCAGAGTAGCAGGCATAAAAAATAAATCTGCAAATAAAGTTGGATCTGATTGCAAAACTATCAGATCAAAGGGGAGAATACTGTTACCCGTGATGGTCAACAACAGGAAGAAAAAAGAAAAAATTGGATATGGTGGAAGCAACAATGGAGGTGATGTGAACATCATCTTGAGCAGCTACCAATGGTTGTGAGTAGGGGAAACATGGGTGGATTAAAGTGAGAGAAAAGAGGAGGAAAGGGGAGAGAGAGGTAGAGAAAGGTAAAGAGAGGAGGAGAGGGAGGATAGGTGAACCTAATCATTCATTTAAACACACATGTAATATTTAATATGTCATATCTACCGGCATCCATTCTAAAGCAATATATTGTAATGAATCAAGTTTGATAGCTTTTTTCATATAACCGAACATGTTCCATGGCTTCATACAGCATTAAAAAGAGTTTGCCCAAGTAATAAATCATTCCTTTCATAGATATTAAAAATATTTCATTTTCCATGTTATTTAGCTCCGTGAAATTAACAAAAAAGGCAGAATAGAAGAATATTAAGCTTAAACTTAAAACAATAGGCAAAAGTAATAAACACACAATCCCAATACTTCAATTGTGCATAAAAGGTCTACTTGAATGTGTTGTTCATTTTTATATATGTGGTCACATTGGCTGAAAATACGCACTAAAAGAATGATAGATCTGTTGCCTTTAAAGGTTGGGCGCGGCGCTGAATATAAAGCCGATTGTTGATTGCAAAGAAAAACAATTAGAGTTTGATGGTCTGAAGCTGCAAAAGCTCCCAAATAGTTTTGGAATATAAAAGAAGTTGAGAAAAGCATTCCATCAACATGAAACAATAGCATCGGGGCTTCTCTTACATAACCATCTAATAACATAAATATCCAGTACAAGCATCGTTTCTTGGTTAATATTTCCCTAACCCCTAAAAATATCATGGTTAACAGATGAAATTCAAAATCACTTGCATGCTTAAAGGTCAAATAGAAAATATACTGTAGATAGAAAAAGATCAACTAGAGGAAAGTTGTATCATGATTCCACGATCCCATTAATTTCCCCATTCTAGCGGCTACAAATTGAATGTATAAATGATGATGCATCTTAGAACCCTTGTAAAATACAATAGGGGCATTAAACATACAATAGGGGCATTAAACATATATCGTCGTTCTTTTTTTTCAAGAATTTTGATGAAAATAATATGTGCTATTAAATACACTTATTAGCTTTGCTCACACCAACCTTTCTATGACTTAAACCCAAGTAGCTGAAAGCTACAAGAGCATTTTATGTCTCTTTCCTAACTGAAAGCTACAAGAGAGGATGAGGTGAGGGAGTGGTGAGGGAGGAGGGGGAAGGAGACAACAGAGAATTGAGGAAATGTCTCTTTCCTCTTTTTTTACCTTTCATCCTTCCATTGAACACATTTTCAACAACCTCTCTAGTAGCCAATAGGGCATTGACATCTAGCCACAATTATCAAAATATCCTAACAACCTAAGAGCATTTTATGCTACTTACTAATTATAAAATTATAAAAGTAATATTCATATCCCATGTGATAATCCTTATGCCATGTTAACTTCATTCTTGATCTTGCATGAGCCTGACCCGTAGTGTGATTTGCTTTACTGCCGCCAATTGAAGTCACGACAATTTCCTCAACTTCCTCAAGCACGACCTTGTCTTTAAGGCTAGTGTTACACGAGAGCATTGAAGACCTGTAAGCTACAATCCATGTTGCTTCTTTTGACTGTTGGCTCTACCATTGAACGAATTCAGTTATCAGCTCCCTCCTTTTTGGACATTGTCCCATGGCCAGGGTAGTTTTTAGTTGTAGAAGTGAGTGATTTTCACGAGTGCGATGTAAGCTAAGCCAAATGTCATGTTGTGCCCTACAAAAAGATTTGAGTAGTGTGACGTAAAATATTGGTTAAATGTGGGACTACAATGGCAAATCCAATCGATATAATTATTGCCAATTCTTTTTAAGATTTTGTGAGGTCAACAAAAAAGATGTTGCAAATTTGAGAAGGACTCAATGTGTTAATATTTGTTGATAAGATTGTAATTTAACAAAGACCATATCAACCACAGTAAATTGAACATCCTAGTAGTAATTATTAGTTTGCTAACTCAAGCATTTTGGTCATTGAGCAAGTGGTAGTGTGTTGTCATAGAGCTATATCTCTGTCATAGAAGAGATTTGTCAATGGCTACTACGATTAAATAGTTTCCAATGTCATGATGCATGGGATGTGGTGAACGTTTATAGAAGGTTTGGAAAAGGTATTTGTGAATGGTTGCATGGTATAAAATATTGTACGAGAATTCAATCCATAAATAAAGAATTTGCCACTTTGAAATAGTATTGATGGTAAAACAGTGTAGATAATGTTGGTTGCCTCTATTTATACATTTCTCTTCAAATAGTGAATATTGTTATAATTTTGTTTTGTCCCCATTGCCTTGAAAAGCTTCTTCCAAAATGAGCTAAAAAATATGTGATCTCTATCGATGGTCATTATAAGGAGGCGCACATGAATTATGTCGATATCATTGAAAAATATTGTTGACCCATTTGTTACAGTGAATCAAATGAGTAGAGAAGAAATATGAGCATATTTTGTAAGGTGGTCGACAATTATCACGATAGTTGTGCATGCGGAATTTTGGTAGATGGACTATGAAATCCATAGTAAGTCATTCCAAGCGACTTATGATATGTACAAGGATTGTAGAATATCGGCAGAGGCTAAGGCCTGATATTTGGTGACTTGGCATATAAGGCATCTTTAGTGGTATTCAAGAATGTCTTTTTTACATTAAGGACCAGCAAAAAGTGTGTTACATAAGAGTCAGGTTAAGTCGATACCCCCCATGTCCACAAATATAGTCAATATGGTAGTGCTGAAGAATTGATTGGCGACATGTTGATGAGGCAGTAAAAATGCATCCTTTCTTACATAGAAAGCCATCACTAAAGGTATAATAAATGCATGCAAAGAAATTGTCTTGTATTGATTGCAACAACTTTATCATCTCAAGAAGAGTTTTGGTTTCTATTTTTTAGTTTATCTAGTAAGCTGAAAATGGGAGGGGAAATAAGCACCACAAAGTTCTCAATTGGATTTAGTGGAACTGTATTTTCTTCTCTCTAGAATAGTGCATCTACTACCGCATTATTGTAGCCCAAATTGTATTCAATATAGTGGTCGTAGCCTAACAAATTGGCAAGCAAGCATTGTTGAGCTAGTGTTTCAATGAATTGGTTCGTAAGATTTTTAATGCTTTGTTGATCAATCCAAATCGTAAATTGAGACCCATTTTTTATTGTCACCATCGAGCAATTGCATCTGTGATTGCAAACATTTCATGAACATATGTTAATTCATGTTTCATTCCTCTGTCTAGTTTCCTACTGTTGAGAGTAATAGGATGTTCATTTTGGGATCCGATAGCTAAATTTTTATTCATGAGGCATCAATGCTAATGGTCAATGGCCAAGAAAAAATATAGTAAGGCCAAGATTATGGGTGTTAATAGTGCTTATACTTTAAAATAATGTTGCCACAACTAAGTCCCATTTGAAAGTATTGGCCTGTAAGAGATTTTTTTGAGGAGTAACTATCTATGCGAATTTTTGTAAAAGCTTTGGTAACTGTTGGCAAGGTCAAAAAAAATGCAGAAAGTTGTTTTTGAGACTTGGATTTTGGCCAATTGTCAATAGCGGCAACCTTTTCTAGTTATGAGTAGACACCATTGGTGTCTACAACATTCCCCAATTAATCAATGCTAGGATAGCCGAATAAGCATTTAGAGTATTTAAGATAAAATTGATGGTCCGACAATCATAGTGGACAATAGCTAGGTGATCAAGATAGTATCAGATTGTTGTGTTGTAAACTAGTATGTCGTCAAAGAAGACAATAACAAATTAGCAAAGGAATGCATGAGCATTGAATTCATAAAATGTTGGAATATATTTGAGGTGTTGGTGAGGTTAATGAATATGTAAATTTCTCATCACATTTTTAGCACAGTCACTTTTCAAAGCGGGTTAATAATTCAGCTATCGATAGAGGGTAAATAGGAATGGTTGGTTTGAAAGTTATTGTGGTTAAGAATGACATAATTATGGATGGGTAAGGTGGGTGTTTTGAAAGAATTGGTGTCGAGCCCAAAATAGATTGGTCATCATTTAGCTTGTCTTTGATAAGCTTGGCAAGTTTGATAGATTGACCTAATCATATTGGCCAAAGAATAAGAATTTCTTCGTGGATAATTGGTTTGAAGCATAATTTGAAACAACTCTATGAGAAAAGTTCATTAGCATTGATTATCTTATTTGAGAACTGCTCAAATTAAATTTTTTAATCAGTCACCGTGAAGATTTGTTAATTCACAAAAGTACATTGTATTTGGACGGTCCAAAATATTGCTATTTTTTAAGAAATTAATGGTTCGAGGTTGTCTTCGGCAAAATAAGAAGATAACAGACAATTGAGTTAAGATCACTTCTCTTTATTTCTTTTTTGCCATTTTATCCTTTTATAAAACACCTTTTAAACCATCTTTTCTGAATATCCACTAGGTCATTGACTTTTGGCCACTATTTATCAAAAAAATTCTAACACCTAACAGCATTTTCTACCACTTATTAATTACAAAATCATAAAATTACTATCCATTTCCTATGTCACAATCTATGTGCCGTGTTGGCAACCAAGCTTGGTGTGGTTTGCTTGATTGCCATCTGTTGAAGTAAGAACAAATACGGGATTTTTAATAAAAATTATACAGCTTTTCTTCGATGATTTTGAATGAAAATATATGAGCTGTTTAATAAAAATTATAATTAAAATTTTATCATAATAAATTCATTTATTGATGTTCATATTGAAGATGTCAATGCATGCAGTAGAACTATGCATAGAAGACCTCTATTATACTTTGGACAATTAAAATACAAGATTTTCAGTACATTTGAAAAAAAACAAAGAAAAAAACTCTGGGTTTCGAAATAAAGAACTAGAGCACTAGGCTTTCATAAGCATACATTATATATCCAGCAAACTCTGGGATTCGAATTGCATTTATCTCTCCCAATTTAGGTTTATGACTGATAAGCGCAGGAGATCAGAATATAAACAACAATCATAAGTAATTAAGTTGTGTCAATCGCAAAAAAGAACAAATGAATCATGGTCCAAATGGGATATACTGTTGATGAATGGATCCTGCGGCACTAACCCGTCTTTATCCTTCCGAAGAAACAAATGGAGAATGATTAGATAGATAGAGAGAGAGAGAGAGAGAGCGATGGCACCTTCCAAAGAGATGGTTGAGAGATAAGGGCGCGATAGCAACAAGTGCTGAGGAGAAGCACAGAGCAGAGGTCTCTCTGAGAGAGACGGGAGCTCGCGATCTCTACAACACGAGGAACAATCTTCCGATTCCATGCCTCTTCTCCGCTCTCTGACATCGCTTGATCACGCATATGACTACGGAGGGCTGCTCTCAAGCGGCTTATGAGAACAGAGCTGCCGGAAGAGAATTTACACGGGAGTGAAAGAAACCATCTTTCTGCGTATGTTCGGAATAATACTGGAAGCCATTTTTATAACAGGAACTAATTTCTTTGCACTTAATTAGTCAAACTCTCACAATACTTAAGGATAAGAATAGTGAGAAGTATTTGAATTGTACACTTCAATAAGAAATAAGGATTACAACACTTGAATAGTTGCAAGCTCGAAAGATTTTCTTTGATGAATAAAAATGAGTGGAGGAACTACTATTTACAGCCCCGTCCAAATCTAAGAGAATATTCTAGAATATCCTAGTTTCTAGAGTGTTTTCCACTATTCATATATACATATATAGTCCTATAACTTTCTAAATTATTCTTGAGTTCTCCTTGGAGCATATATTTTTCATATTCTCTAGAATTACGTGTAATTCTATGCAATCTGGTCTTCTCTAGAATCTTTCATCATATGCTTGTATTGCAATTTTTAAAGGATGAAGGAGTGCGACACTCTCCCCACCTAAGCTCGCAATGGTCTCATGGTGTCTTCCCCTTGACCCTCATACCAGCTTCATTTGTTTGCTCACAGACTTAGCAAATTTGGATTTTTTCTTGGTGGTATGGGGGAGGGGTGCCATGCAGGAAAACTTCTTGGCTGGCAACTCAACCCTTGGCTCCAACCAAATCAGATGATTATTCTCTCTCCTTATTAGTTGTTCTTTTGGTAATTCTTTAAGAACCTCAACTACTTCCCTTGATATGCCTTCTTGAGGCCTTACCTCTTCATTGGGGTTGTGAAAAATAGTGATATACAAAAATAATATACTGTTTTAAGTATCATTTTTACATTTATTTTTTGTGATATTGCAATTTAAAGAAGGGTAATTTTGTGTTTTTTGTTGCAGATATACTATTTTTAGGCATTTAGAGTAAAAATGGCAAAAAGAGCGAAATTATGAGCAAAAACAGCCAATTTTGGGGTTTGGAGCATGATGCGCCAAAATCCAAAGCATTGGCGCATGATGCACCAGATTGGTGCATGATACGTTAGGCGCGACTTTTTCAAATTAAGGCGGTTCGAGACGAATTTTTCCCGAATTTTCAAAAGGACACTTGTTCTAAGCACCCCATTGAGTGATTCAACGCATTTAGACACTTTGGAAAGTTCCAATTTGAAGAGATTTGACTCTTGGATCATGGAGACACGTCTTTTGAAATTTAAAGTTTTGACTTTTAAATTGTGGAGGGAAATTGAAACTCTTTTCAGAGGAAACAGCCCAAAAGGAAGGGGGCTTCTAGTGTGACGAGAGAGGGAGAGAGAGAGAATTGGTGTGAGTTGGAGAGAGAGAGAGAAGAGGAGATTTTCTTTCTTCTAGGGTTGTAAGAGGAGAGAGAATGTGAGAGATTTCTTCTTCATTACATTTCTAAGAGAGAATTGGAAGCGATTGTAAAGAGAGAAAGGCTTGGAGAGAAATTTTAGGGATTTGCTTGGGAATGATTGTAAGTTAAGTTGTATTTTCTATTTCTTTTGTATGTAAACTTGTTTTTATATATAAAGTCCATGTTTTATCGTATCATTCTCATGAATTCCGAGTAGTCTTCTTTATCATTCTCCCTACTTTGAAGAAATGATTTTGTGAAGAATTGATTTTGTTTTTTACGGTTTTAAATGTCAATAATTTGTGATGATTTGAACTCCGATCTTCATTTACTTTTCGATATGTCCAATTGAATTGTTAAAATGTATTGAGAAATATATGTTCTAAAAAGGGGATATGATTTCTACAACAAATGGAGAATCACAATTAATTTCATGGGAGAGTATGTCATCCATGAGATTGGGTGCAAATAAATAAGAAAATATACTTCATTGGATGTAGAATTAGAAGATTTTAAGGTGACAGATTGTAATCCCTAATTTGGCTCAGTTGATTGGAAACTAATGCGAGCATGTTAGGCATGTTAGCCCTCATGTGAATGTGAGGGAGTAGTGGGAGCACTGGAGTGACAGTCGGTATCCTCCCAGCCTAACCACGAAATTAGGGACCAAACTCTGGATTATTCAATGTTCTTTAGAGCGCTCAGAAGAGGTGGAGAATAGAATTGCTCCTATTTTACACAAAACAGTTTTTAAATATATTTTTCAAATGATTTCAATTTCTTTACAAGCCATATTTTCATTGTAAAGGGGAAGGATTTTTCTCATACTTGAAATTTTTGTCAACAAAAACCTTTATTTTATTTCAGCAATTTACTTTTGAAAGTTTAGCATATAGTTTAACTTACTTTTTATAATCTTCCATTTGCATATTTAGTAGCATTTCACTTAAGTAGTTTAACTTCAAACTTCGTACTTTACTTTATTTTTATTTTTATTTTTATTTTTAACTTCGTACTTTACTTTATTTTTATTTTTATTTTATAATATAATATAAATAGCTAGCTTATATATATATTTCCAGCTTCCCTGGACTCCATTAGAGTCTGACTCCATTAGAGTCTTGTATTACTTGAACGATACGTATATTTGCGTTATATGTAAAAGGGAATTGGGACTTCAAAAGAGGTTTTAAAGATAAATTATTTTCATTAAAGTTACATTATTATTTGGGTTACATTGCATCAGTATTATTAATTTAATATCAAGTTCCTGATTCCGCGCATCAAGTTTTTTGTGTCGTTGCCGGGGAAGCAACGAAAAATATTAATTATTTTATTTTAAAATATAAAAAATGTATTTGTAGTTGAGTTTAAACATTTTCTTGTTTAAGTATATCACTTATTTTTAATTACTTATTTTATTTTGTTTATGCATAGTATAAGATCTGAAAACTTGGTACATTACGATTCTGAATTAGAAAGAACTGTTAGAAAAATTTGAAAACAACAAAAAGAGAAAAATCATTCTATCAAAATGGCTTGCAACTCGTGTTGCTGGAAATGAGAAAATGAAAATGAACATCATGAGAGACATTTAAGAGATTATGCTAATCCTACAGTAGAAGAAATTCATTTGAGTATACAAAATCCTGTTGTAGCTACCAGTTCAATTCATTTGAGCTTAAACCTATTGACCTATTGTTATCCAAATGATACAAAACAATCAATTTAGAGGAACACCAAATGAAGATCCAAATTTACACATTGTTAGTTTGTTAGAATTGTGTGCTACATTTACGTACGATGGAGTGTCGAATGATGCAGTCAGACTTAGACTTTTTCCTTTTTCACTGAGGGATAAAGCTAATATGTGGTTAAACTCATTAACATCTGGATCTTTCAGAACTTAGGAGACTTATCACAAAAATTTTTATCTAAATATTTTCCACCTTAAAAAATTGCTAAGCTTAGAAATGATATTACATCTTTTTGTCAGTTTGAAGGGGAATTAATTTATGAAGCCTGAGAAAGATTTAAAGATCTCCTTAGGAAGTGTTCACACCATGTGTTGTCAGATTGGTTAATAATTCAAATTTTTTATAATAGATTGGTTGGATCCCTTAGATCGATATTTGACGTTGTTGTTGGTGGATCATTAATGTCAAAACCATTTGATGAAGCATATTCATTAATTGAAGAGATGACTACTAAAAATTTTCAATGGCCCTCAGAAATGGTAAATCCAAAAATAGTAGCTAGTATTCATGATTCTGATGCAATATCTATATTAGCTGCTCAAATAGTTGCTTTATCGAAGAAGATAGATCAATATGGAATGAATTATTCTCAAACAACACCTGTGCTTGAGGAGAACTCATTTGGACAAATGATAGAATCTCAATCTTCTTATGAGACTTTAAATGTAATAAACAATCATTTTGATAAACCATATGCTAATTATTATAATCCAAGTTGGAAGAATCATCTAAACTTTAGTTTGAGTAACAATAACTCGAATACTTCAAATCCACAATGGGGAAACAATGTTGTGAGCCCAGTAGAAAGCTCCAACAATCAAGGAAATCAAGTTTATAAACCTTATTACCCCCCAGGATTTAATAATTTACAATAATTTATAATTTACAAAGTAAGGAGAAAAATTTATCAATGGAAGAATTGATATTGCAAATGAGAAGTCAATTACAGAGTCAAGGAGCTGCAATTAGAAACATGGGAAAGCAATTGGGATGTAGTGCTACTGCACTTAGCAATAGACCTCTAGCAATAGACCTCTAGATAGACCTCTAGAAACATTGCCTAGTAATGTTTAAGTAAATCCTAAAGATCAGAACATGGAGCAAATTAAAGCTATTCAATTGAGAAGTGAGAAAGAATTAGAAGAAAGAGTTCAACGAGAAGTTGAAATTGAAAAAGATGGGGTGGAAAATGAAAATTTTGGTGAAGATTTTCATTATGAGTCAAAAAGTCTTATTAAAGCAATGAAAATCACTGTAAATAGACCACCACCTCTATGTCCTCAAATATTGAAGCAGAAGTATAAAGATAATCAATTTTTTTAAATTTTTGGAAATTTTGAGAAAATTAACAATCAAGATTCCGTTTGCTGAAGCTTTGGAACAAATTCCAAGCTATGTGAAGTTCATGAAGGATATACATAATAAGAAAAGGAAGTTTGTAGGTAATGAGATGGTTGCACTCAGTGAAGAGTGTAGCGCTATAATTCAGAAGAAGCTTCCTGAAAAATTTAAAGATCCTGGAAGTTTTACAATTCTTTATGCTATTGGCAAATGATTTTATGGAAAAATTTTATGTGATTTAGGAGCCGGTATTAATCTTATGCAGTTATCAATTTTCAGAAGGTTGGGTTTATGAGATATTTCACCTACAACTATAACTTTTCAGTTAGTTGGTCGTTCGATTACCTCTCTTAAAGGAATTATAGAAGATGTTTTAGTAGAGGTTGATAAATTTATCTTTTCTCTAGACTTTATTGTATTAGACATGGAGGAAGATAAAAAATTTCTATTATTTTAGGAAGATCATTCCTAGCCACTGAAAGAGCTTTGATAGATGTGCAGAAGGGAGAACTAACTATGAGAGTTAGTGATCAAGAAGTTACATTTAATGTTACAAAATCAATGAGATACCCTGCAAAAGAACAAGAGATTGAATGCTTCATAATGGATATTAATGAGTATTTAAGCCATGAA